TACTCACCCTCAAGTCATCCTAGGTGTAAATGACTTTCTTCTTTCAGACGAATCCAGTCGGAGTTATATTAAAAATGGTCTTTGATCTTTCAAGCCGTTTCATGGCTCTCATGTCGAAGAGTTTGATGAAGATCTGCAGAGTTGGTAGTTAGACACTTTCTCTGGGTTTATTATAAATATCACAATCCTCTGCAGTGTTGTTAGTTGTGAGTAGTACTGTTAGTTGTGAGTAGTACATCATCATTTATATTATGATGTTGCTGTCCGGCTCTTCATCGCCATAAGCCACTCTTGAACATCTGCTATTATGATGGGTACATTCTGGAAACAGAAATTAGAAAAGGCATGTAATAACCTCCTTCTGAATGCATAGCATGTTTCATTCACTTCAACTGTAATAGAAGCTCTTATTGATAATATTTGGTGTAAATCATTATTCAATCTCACACACACACACACACACACACACACACACACACTATATTATGCATTTACCAACACTAGTCAGGTATTTAAGTAAAAAATTACTATATTCTATAATTATATGCTAATATTATTCTAAAATATCACAATTCTATGCTATTTTAATATTTAAATAAATCTAAATAAATAAAAATAAAACATTAAAACTAAACACAGATGTTTTAAATGCCACAAATTTAGACATCAAAACATTGTAATGTCCAGAATGAAACTAGGCCCACATTAATTATGAGATTTGCAAAATATTACATTTAACAGTATTATTAAATTATTAGTGTTTTTAAAAATTAATATTACATGATGGTACAGGTAAAATATAAAGAAAAACAAGAACAGATAATACAAAAGATTTTGCCTTTTTAAACTTTTTTTACTGTTCTCTGAGGTCCACTCAAAATGTTATCAAGACTTTTACATAAAAAAACATCATAATTTAGAATTAATAGGTTATTTTCAGCCCTGTTTTGACCCCTCTCATCAGACCGCTCTGTTTGAATAGGTGTGGTGGATTGTCGACTCTGAAGTAAACACCCAATGTTATGATTGGCTATCAGTTGTGCATGTCTGACAGCCTACATCCTTCATAGATGGACGCTGCTTTGATTTAGGTTAAAAACGCATAAATACTCAATACATATCAAACAATCTGTAATAACACAAAGCAATAGTGACCACGTAATAAAATCAGTTACTCACACTTGAGTGGTGCAACATTACTGTCGGATCCAATATAGTCGCACAGTTTCGTCTTTCAGTATTTCTGAAAATCCTGCATCGAATTGTGCCTTGTTTGTACACGAATCCGCTGTAAAATGAAGTGAACAAGTACCAAGTTCTTACTGATTTTATTTCATTAAAAATAAATTTAATCCACTCTTTCCTAATGTTGGGATCAAAAGGAAGGCAATGCAAAGACTTGGTTTTTCCACACCTTGGCACTGCACAGCGTCTTCTTGTCTTCTGAGTCGTCTTTATCGTTTGATTCATGTGTAGACCTGAATTTGCCTCTCTCGTTATTTACACTACGTACGCGAATCGGTGGGCGTAGCTAAACAGGCAGTGATGTAGAAGCTGGCCATGATTTCATGAGGCTTGATCTTCTTCGGCGGAGGCAGGGTTTAACCACACTATTATGTCATAAAGAGGGCACATTCCACAACCTGTCATTTTGACAGATTGGCTTCAATATAAGCAGTTTTTAGACTAACCAGTAAATTCTGAGTTCTGAAACTTACAGGATGTTTTTATAGTACAATGACCTCTTATATGTCAAAAGATATATAT